CTCTTGCGTGCAGAGCGTGTGATTTTGACAGTTACAGCACTGTCATCCCCGCGGCGCCTCAGAGCCATGCGGTTGGGCTGCAGTGGGCTGAAGGAGATCTCCAGCTCAGGTCGGGGGAAACGGCTGGTCCTGCCATTCTCTGTGGAGATCTCTGAGGAGTCCAAGACTGATGGGAATCCTGATGAGGCCTGTGGCAAAATTAATAATGATGTTCATATTTTTGAGGGTGTCACTCGCTTAACGTTAGAGCAGATACAGTCCAACAAACTCACCTGACTGCTGACCGACATTCGGTTGTCTGTACGTTGCAATGCATTCTCCTTGATGATGCCACTCTGGAGTTTCCCTGCTGTGCTTTCAATGTGTTTAGTCTGCCACATGAAACACAAGGTTTTTTTATAATTTATAATCATTAATAATACTATGTGTCTGTTGTGGACACTAGGAGAATCCAGTATTAAGATAATGCTGTTTTATTTCAATAGATGAGGGCCGACAATGTCTCAACAGTTTTGACCTTCTGTCTCAGTGTAGAAAGCAGAAGAACACAGAGCTAAGCTATCACTTTTTACATAGCAAAAAACAGAATCTTAAATGTGGCCTTAAAGGAAGACTGACCTTCGTGACAACTTTCGTGACAATCTTCTGCTCATCTCTTAACTTCTTAAGCTCGTCTTTTAGTTTTTGGAGATCCTTCTCTCGCTCTTGCAGAGTAGCCTGCAACTCTGCTACGTCAACAGCACAATTGCTTGCACCGCCGCCGTGTCCACACTGAAACAAGAAGTTTCTGTCGGTGACATTTTCTGCACAAACTCTCCATCATCTCACATTTATCAACATAAAAATCAGTGGACCAACAAAAAATGAGGAGCAGAGCGGGTTAAAAAAAAAATCGAATTTTTTAAAAAAAACCTTAGAGCTAAATTTTATTACATGCAACATGCAAATGGTAAGGCTCAATAAATGACTGATATATGTATGTATGTCTGTCCTAGTGAGTAAATTAAAAAATATATGTTTGCAGTTTGTGTATGTTCTTGTCCTGGTCTAACATGTCTGTCTTAAACTTGAGTTGTGGCATCAGCAGAAACTAGAAAAGGCAATTGCAAACTATAGATTTTGTTTTCATGGAGATTTACGAGACATTGAAAATTCAGTGTTTTTTGTTTTCTCCGTGCTGATTTTAATGAGCACAGTCGATCACACTGCACTTCACACACACACTCAGATCTGAGATCAGAGTGTGAAAATCCTCAGCTGTGAAGAAAAACATGAAGAACACAGAGTCCCAAAAAACCCACACAAACACACGCAGCACACAAAACCATGCATCCATGTGTGTGTTCATACGTGAAGCAGTATTGTTGAGCAATTAACATGAGGAGGGAGTTAATGGACAGCAGAGCCTTTTTGCATAGTTTACAAACTACATTTTAAAAGTGCAGGAATTCAAGTGCAGAAAATCTTTATTAGTCCACAACCCCAAAGAACATTAGGTTTGATAATAATTAATCAACACATGCGAGTCATATAAAAAAAACAAGCAAAAGAAAACAAAAAAATTCTATCAATTCCTGATTTTCCCCCATAAAATATATAACATATATATGTATAACACCTCCTGAAGCAAGATGATTTAACGATTGTTTTTGTTCATATAGAAAAGTGGAACTACACTGACCTCTGGTGTTGGCTGTGTGTCAATGCGGCTTTTTAGCTCCAGGATCTCCCTGTCCTTCTCTGATTGGCTGCTGAGAAGTTTGTGGAGCTGAACCTCCAGAGCGGAAACCAGAGTGTCTCTTTCCTTCCTCCACGTCTGCATCATCTCCTCCTTTGCTTGCAACTCTGACTCCTGAGTCACAGTTTACAGTCACAGCAGTGAAAACAGCATACATCAGTCAAACATCAACTTCATTCACAGAGTACTATTGAAAACAACTTTAGAAAAGGGGCATGAAATCTTAAAAGGAAAGGATGTACCGTCAACCCTCTTTATTTTTGTGATTCCCAAGTATGTAATTAACAGAAATGTTATTACCAGGTGACTCTGTTGTTTTCCGTAACGCTCTCGGTCATCTACAAACTTCCTCATCTCTTGGTTCCTCTTGTCCTCCGCCTCTTTGGCCTGACCAATCAGAGACAGCTTCTCCTCCAGCCACTTCTTACGCTCAGTTTGGTGTTTTTGCTCGCACAGCTGACACAGAGCAGCACTTTCTGTTACTCACATTCTCTTACACTGTGTCACATTTGAATCAATATTTATCGTCACCTTGAGCTGCTGCTGAGCCTGAGCTGCCTCCTGTTTGGCCAAATTGGGGTCATGTGACTGACTGTCAACCCTGCGACGGCCACAGCCAGGAGGTGGTGATGATGTTTTAAGTTTTCCCACTTCTGCAG